ATATATATATATACACACACACACACACACACACGTGAATATATATATATATATATATATATATATAGTTTTTTTTAATGCAAAAAAAAACGAATTATTTTTTGGATACATTTAAAATTATATACATATATATATATGCAAATAAATTGGCTTTTTTGCATAAATTAATTTAGATTTTAATGGTCATAAAAATTGACTTGATTTTCTGTTGGTTTTGGGGTGAAATATGACCTGGGCATGTTTGGATGTGTGTAAATCTCACAGAAAGTGTCTGTCAGGACGGAATCGTTTCAGATCATCAGCTCTGTACAGTAACGAGAGCCTGACGACAGACAGCAGGAAGTGATGCGTTTCTCCAGGAGGAAGAGGCTTGATGTGAATGTCGTGCGTCTCGTGTGTCGTCTGTGTTTCAAACCTGAGAAACAGAGAAGCTGATGTGAGAACAGCAGTCATCATATTGTCACGAAACTTCACATGCATCACCTCTTCAGTTCATCTGCTCACTATTTATTTCCTGGATTATCGTTGCTTTGCTCTGGTTGGGTTCAGGACCTCGTGATTCTGGACTTCAGACGTCATGAACACAAGCTTTGTTTGTAAACATCACAGATTGTATTTAGATTATTTAAATGAGAAGAATATGTACGCATTATACAACTGAAAATATACATATGTTTTAAAAGGATGTTTGTTGTCTTGTTTTTCTATTTAAAAAAGTCTATTAAAAAGAAAATATTTCTACATGAAAATTCGTGCAGCAGGTCTTCAACATACAGGTTTCTGTCCAGTAGCCCATTTTCAACATTTTTTAAATAATACCAAAAAACCCTAAGATTATTTAAATAATCAGTGTTCACAAACAAATGTCATTTTTTTATTTCTGGAAAAAAAAAACTCATTAAATTCCCTTACTGTTTTATTACAAGTTTTATTTGAGATGCCAAAGTGACACTAATTAAAAAAAACAAAACAATTCTGACTTTTATTTTGAAATTCTTAGTTCACATCTTGCAAATGTTTTTACAGCCATTAAAAAATAAAAAGGTCATTTTTTTATCCGACAGTTTGAACTTTTTTCCCCCTCAGTTATTACTTTTTCTTGCAATTCGGAGAGAAAAAAATTACATGTATAAAATATTGCATTTTTTTTTCCCTCATAATTGACAGAAAACTCAAAATTATGCATGATAGTTTCAATTTTTTTATCCTGTGGTGGAAATAAGCTTATGTAGTTAGTAGTTCCCAAGTTCAAATTATAATTTTGTATTCATATTAATAGTTCTGTTGCTCTTACCTGTACGTATCATATCAACTGCCAATGATTCATGTATGATGAACCCAGAATTAACCTCTGACATGCTCTTTTTTTGAAAATATGATTTTGTATTATCGATTGAAATTGATGTTAAAAAATCAAGTTTTTTCCATTTTTGTGTAAATGACAAAATACAACAATTATCACAATTTATTCAAGTGTGCAAAGACAAAACCAGCAAGAAAAGCGGTGCTGAAGCTGTGAGATGTCAAGAAAAAATATAAATAAAACTAGATTAAATAATTAGCAAAATGTTTAAAGACAATAATATAAAAAGTGCAGAGAAACATCTGAAGAGAGTTCATCACGTATACGCCGTCATCTTTGAAACTCGACAGATCTTTGGCACTAGGTTCCATGTCTCCTCATTGGACGGAGAAAACGTCTTCCTGTCAGCTGATGAAACATTACAGCCAATCAGCTTTGAGATCAGCCTGACGTGTTAAATACACTGGGAGTGTGACGTACTGATGACTAGTGATGGACGCTTTTGAAGCTTTGAAACTTTTGTGAATCATTTGCTTCGAAACAGGTATGATATGAGTGTTTTCTGCAGATTCACTCACATGAGATTCTTGCGTTCTAAAGCTTCTCTGGTGGCAGCAGAGAGGGATCCCTTCTCTTTATTATCCTGAAACACAGACCAAACTCATGAATGATGCTTCAGAATCCTCTCATCCAACCTGACCCACATCTCACATCCATCGGCAATACACTGGCATATTAGAACCTGTCATCTACATCATTTACACAGCACCAAAATAATAGTTCTAATTCCCCAAAACCAATTACCAAAGAAAATAAAAAATCCTAATCAAAAAATACAAATATCTAAACATATGCCTCCAACAAAAAAAAAAAAAAGATTTAATCACAATAAATAAAATATCTGATCGAAAAAATATTTTTAAAAATCTATGACTATTACCGGTACTATGAAAAAAAAATCACTAAAAATATCTAACCACCCCACAAACAATAGTACAAAAAAAAAAACTAACCAGGGGAGGGAGGATTAAAAAAATAAAAATCATAAAAATGAATGAAAATATCTAACCTTCCCCCAAAAAAAAAATAAATATTTGATCCCCCTAAAAATAAAAAATAAAAATCACCAAAGGAAATATTTAAATTATTTAATACCTCCATTATCTAATCACCCCAAATAAATTAATAATTAAAAAACCTAATCACTCCAAAAAATAATAAAAAAACTTAACCACCCCCCCCCCACCAACCAAAATGAAAAAAAAAATGTGACCCTGGAGCACAAAACCAGTCATAAGTGTCAATATTGTGAGATTTAGATTGGACAATATTTGGCTGAGATACAACTATTTGAAAATCTGGAATCTGAGGGTGCAAAAAAATCTAAATATTGAGAAAATCATCTTTAAAGTTGTCCAAATGAAGTTCTTAGCAATGCATATTACTAATCAAACATTAAGTTTTGATATATTTACGGTAGGAAATTTACTAAATATCTTCATGGAACATGATCTTTACTTAATATCCTAATGATTTTTGGCATAAATTAAAGAAAAATGTATAATTTTGACCCATACAATGTATTGTTGGCTATTGCTACAAATACACCCCAGCGACTTAACACTGCTTTTGTGCTCCAGGAACACAGATATATGAAAGCATGGAGGACAGCAGTGTGTTTATATACTATTATTACAGCTTTTGTTAATATTTTGAATTAGATTTTATTTTTATTTTTTCTCTTTTCATTTTAATTTTAGTTGGGGTTTTAGTATTTTTTTTTGTTGTTGTTGTCATTTTTGTTTTTAAATACATCTATATAGCCCGTATTTATTTTATTTCAGTTTTAGTTTTAGCTGTTTTAGTACAGAAACTTAAGCTGAATGAAAATGAGAAATGTTGCTTTTGCAACTAGATGGAATAAAATATTTTTATGATGTTTTTTATTCCAGTAAAGGTTTATTTTTGTTCCAGTGTTGTTATAGTTTAAGAGCTCACTGTGATGGTCCTGATGAGGCGCGACACGCGTTCAGTGCTCAAGAGACAACGGGTCAGAAAACCCCTCACCACAGCAGCAGCCAGCAGAGAGAAATATAATCAATACTCATGAGACACACTGCCTTCATATCTCTGTGTGTGAGTGTGTGTGTGCGTCTGGAAGGATCAAATTAATAGGAAGAAATTAAATTGTGTGAGAGTGTGCGTGTGAGAGTGTGTGTGTGAGAGTGTGAGTGTGAGAGAGTGTGTATGTGTGAGTGTGTGTGTGTGTGAGAGTGTGAGTGTGAGAGAGTGTGTGTGTGTGTGTGAGAGAGTGTGAGTGTGTGTGTGTGTGTGTGTG